CGGCGGCGGCGGCGGGCGCGGGGCCCGGCGGCTCCAGCAACGTCCCCGCCTTCCTCACCAAGCTGTGGACGCTCGTGGAGGATCCCGACACCGACTCGCTGATCTGCTGGAGCCCCGTGAGTGCCGGGGCACCGGGAGGGATCCCCGGCAGGGCGGGGAGCGATCCCCGGCTCGGCGCGGCCCGGCCCGGCCCAGGCCTGGCCTGCGCCCCGCGGCCCCTCGGGGGAATTCCCGCGAAAAAAGCATTTTTCCCGCGAAAATCCCCGCTTTTCGCGGGTTTTCCGCGCGGGAATGTGGGAGATAAGGAGGGAAATAAAAACGTCAAAACGGCGGGAAGGGCTGGGGCGACCTTTGGAGCGGGTTAAAACGGGAGCCGCTAATTAGGGAATAATGAGCTGGGAGTAATTTAGGAGTTGTGGGAAGGCCGGGAGGAATTTTGGGAATACGGAGCAGCTGGAAGAAGGCTGGGAATTTTGGGGAGGCGCCGCTGGAGAAGGGGAATTCCAGGAGATCCTTTTCCAGGGGTTTTTCTGGGAGAGCTGGAGAGGGGTTTGGGATGGCAAACGGGAATGGCTTCCCGTGGAAAATTGGGATTTTTGGGATGGAATTCCCAGAGGATCCCATCCCTGGGAGTGCCCCTGGCCCGGCCGGATCAACTCAGGGTATTGGGAAGTTCCCTGCCCGTGGTGTGGTTGGAACGGGATGATCCCAAAAATCCCTCTTTGGGGATCCCAAAGGCCAAAGCTTTCCAGGATCCCATGGGCAGGATCCCAGGGACAGGATCTCAAGCCCAGGATCCCAAGACCAGGAATCCATGGCCAGAATTCCTCTCCAGCATTCCACTGACAGGATCTCTGCCCGTGGTGTGGTTGGAACGGGATGATCCCAAAAATCCCTCTTTGGGGATCCCAAAGGCCAAAGCTTTCCAGGATCCCATGGGCAGGATCCCAGGGACAGGATCTCAAGCCCAGGATCCCAAGACCAGGAATCCATGGCCAGAATTCCTCTCCAGCATTCCACTGACAGGATCCCTCTTCAGGTTTACAAGGCCAGGATCCCATGGGCAGGATCCTGAGGTCAGGATTCCATGGATCCCTCTGTGGGGTTCCATGGACCCTCCTATGGACAGGATCCTTCTCCAGGATTCCATGGACAGGATCCCTCTCCAGGGTCCCTCTCCAGGATCTCATGGCCAGGATTCCATAGACAGGATCCCTCTCCAGGGTCCCATGGATGGGATCCCTCTCTAGGATCCCTCAGTCAGGATTCCCTGTCCAGGATCCCTCTTCAGGATCCCAGGGATGGGATCCCTCTTCAGGTTCCCATGGGCAGGATCCCATGGCCGGGATCCCATGGGTGCCTCTGTGGGATTCCATGGATCCCTCCTATGGACAGGACCCTTCTCCAGGATCTCAAGCCCAGGATCCCTCTTCAGGATCCCTCTCCAGGTTCCCATGGGCAGGAATCCAAGGCCAGGATACCAAAGGCAGGATACCCCATGGATGGGATCCCTCTCTAGGATCCCTCAGTCAGGATTCCCTGTCCAGGATCCCTCTTCAGGTTCCCATGGCCAGGATCCCATGGCCGGGATCCCATGGGTGCCTCTGTGGGATTCCATGGATCCCTCCTATGGACAGGACCTCAAGCTCAGGATCCCACGGCCAGGGTCAGGATCCCAAGGCCATGATCCTAATGCCAGGATCCCATTGACAGGATCCTCCTCCTCTCGGATCCCATGGACAGGATTCTCCTCCAGGATCCCATGGCCAGGAATCCATGGAGAGGATCCCACGGCCAAGATCCCATGGATCTCCAAATTCCATGATCTGTCCTATGGACAGGATTCTTCTCCAGGGTCCCAGGGCCAGGATTCCAAGGCCAGGATTCTCCTCCAGGATTCCATGGCCAGGATCCCTCTCTAGGATCCATCGGCCAGGATTCCAAGGCCAGGATTCTCCTCCAGCATTCCATGGCCAGGATCCCTCTCTAGGATCCATCAGCCAGGATTCCAAGGCCAGGATTCTCCTCCAGGATCCCATGGACAGGATCCCTCTTCAGGTTGACAAGGTCAGGATCCCAAGCCAGGATCCTACAGCCGGGTTCCCATGGCCAGGATCCTTCTCCAGGATCCCAAGGTCAGGATCCCATGGATTCCTCTGTGAGATTCCATGGATCCCTGCTACGGGCAGGATCCTTCTCCAGCATCTCAAGCTCAGGATCCCATGGCCAGGGTCCCCTCCAGGGTCCCATGGCAAGGATCTCAAGCCCAGGATCCCAAGGCCAGCATTCCATGGCCAGGATCCCACGGACAGGATCTCCCTCCAGGATCCCATGCCCAGCATTCCATGGACGGAATCCCATGGACAGGATCCTCCTTCAGGATCCCAAGGCCAGGTTCCCATAGACGGGACCCTCCTCCAGGATCCCATGGACAGGATCCCTCTCCAGGTTCCCATGGGCAGGAATCCAAGGCCAGGATCCCTCAGTCAGGATTCCCTGTCCAGGATCCCTCTCCAGGATCCCAAGACCAGCATTCCATGGTCAGGATCCCATTGCCAGGATCCCTCAGTCAGGATTCCCTGTCCAGGATCCCTCTCCAGGATCCCAAGACCAGCATTCCATGGTCAGGATCCCATTGCCAGGATCCCTCAGTCAGGATTCCCTGTCCTTCCCATGGGCAGGAATCCAAGGCCAGGATCCCTCAGTCAGGATTCCCTGTCCAGGATCCCTCTCCAGGATCCCAAGACCAGCATTCCATGGTCAGGATCCCATTGCCAGGATCCCTCAGTCAGGATTCCCTGTCCAGGATCCCTCTCCAGGATCCCAAGACCAGCATTCCATGGTCAGGATCCCATTGCCAGGATCCCTCAGTCAGGATTCCCTGTCCAGGATCCCTCTCCAGAGTTCCATGGTCAGGATCCCTCTCCAGGATCGTAAGCCCAGGATCCCATGGACAGGATCCCATGGTCAGGATTCCATGCACAGGATTCCATGGATCCCTCCTATGGACAGGCTTCCTCTCCAGGATCCCAAGCCCAGGATCCCTCTCCAGGATCCCAAGCACAGGATCCCTCTCCCGGATCCCATGGCCAGGATCCCATGGACGGGCTCCCATGGACAGGATCCCAAGGCCAGGCTTCCTCTCCAGGATCCCAAGCCCAGGATCCCTCTCCAGGATCCCAAGCACAGGATCCCTCTCCCGGATCCCTTGGCCAGGATCCCGAGCCCATCATCCCTGGCAGATCTCTGGGATCCAGGACCCTTTTCCCTCTCCGGGATTCTCCTGCCCAGCCCAGCTCTGTGCTCCTGCCTGGGAACAGCTGGGAGAGGGGGATCCAGGAGATCCCTGAACCCTCCAGGGGGATCCAGGAGATCACGGAAAACCTCCCAGGGGGATCCCAGGGATTCCAGGGCCTTTCCCTGGAGGATCCAGGAGATCCCAGGGGCTTTTCCAAGGGGAATCCAGGAGATCCCGGAACCCTCCCATGGGGATCTCTGGAGGAGATCCCAGAGCCTTTTCCAAGGGGGATCCCAGAAACCCTCCAGGGCCTTTTCCAGGGGGATCCAGGAGATCCCAGGGGGATCCCAGAGCCCTCTCCAGGGGGATCCAGGAGATCCCAGGGGGATCCCAGAGCCCTCTCCAGGGGGATCCAGGAGATCCCAGGGGGATCCCAGAGCCCTCTCCAGGGGGATTCAGGAGATCCCAGAACCCTCCAGGGCCTTTTCTAAGGAGGAATCCAGGAGATCCCAGGACCTTTTCCAGGGGGATCCAGGAGATTCCAGAGCCCCTCCCAGGGGGATCAAGGAGATCTCAGGGGGATTCCAGGGCCCTTTCCAAGGGGGATCCAGGAGATCCCGGAACCCTCCCAGGGGGATCCTGGAGATCCCAGGACCTTTTCTAAAGGGGATCCAGAAGATCCCAGGGCCTTTTCCAAGGGGGATCCTGGAGATCCCAGAGCTCATCCCAAGGTTTTTTCCAGGGGGATCCCAGGACATCCCAGAGCCTTTTCCAGGAGGATCCTGGGGATCCCAGAGTCTATTCCTGGAGGATCCAGGAGATCCCAGGACCTTTTCCAGGGGGATCCTGGGGATCCCAGGACCTTTTCTAAAGGGGATCCGGAAGATTCCAGTGTGATCCCAGAGATCCCAGAAACGCTCCCAGGGGGATCCCGGGGATCCCAGAGCTCATCCCAAGGTTTTTTCCAGGGGGATCCCAGGAGATCCCAGAGCCTTTCCCAGGAGGATCCTGGGGATCCCAGGGTCTATTCCTGGAGGATCCAAGAGATCCCAGGACCTTTTCCAGGGGGATCCTGGAAAATCTCCAGGGCCTTTCCCAGGGGGATCCTGGAGATCCCAGGGCCCTTTCCAAGGGGATCCGGGAGATCCCGGAACCCTCCCAGGGGGATCCTGGGGATCTCTGGAGGAGATCCCAGGAGATCCCAGAGCCTTTTCCAAGGCGGATCCCAGAATCCCTCCAGGGCCTTTTCCAGGGGGGATCAAGGAGATCCCAGAAACCCTCCCAGGGGGATCCCAGGGATCCCAGGTCAAAACCCCCCAAAAATCCCAAATAAACCCCCCAAAAATTCAAAAAAATCCCCAAAAAATCCCCCAAAAATCCCCCAAAATCCCAAGAACTCCCCAAAAATCCCATAAAATTCCCGATTTTTCCCGTTTCCCCCCAGAGCGGGAGCAGCTTCCACGTGCTGGACCAGGGCCAGTTCTCCAAGGAGGTGCTGCCCAAGTACTTCAAACACAACAACATGGCCAGCTTCGTCAGGCAGCTCAACATGTGTGAGTATTCCAGGGAAAAATGGGAATTCCGGGCAAAATCTGGGAATTCTGGGGCCAGCTTCGTCAGGCAGCTCAACATGTGTGAGTAAAATCCTGGAAAAATGGGAATTCTGGGGAAAAATCTGGGAATTCTGGGGCCACCTTCGTCAGGCAGCTCAACATGTGTGAGTATTCCAGGGAAAATTCCAGAAATTCTGGGAATTCTGGGGCCAGCTTCGTCAGGCAGCTCCACATGTGGGAGTAAAACTGGGAAAAATCCTGGAAAATTCCAGAAATTCTGGGGAAAATCTGGGAATTGTGGGCAAAATCCGGGAATTCTGGGGTTCAGCTTTGTCAGGCAGCTCAACATGTGTGAGTATTCCAGGGAAAAATGGGGAAAAAATGGGAATTCTGGGCAAAATCTGGGAATTCTGCGGCCAGCTTCGTCAGGCAGCTCCACATGTGGGAGTGAAATCTGGATTTTTGCCCAGATTTCCCCCATTTTTCCCCATCTATTCCTGAATTTTGCCTGGATTTCCCCCCCATTTCTCCCCCGTTTTTCCCCGCATTTTCCCCTCATTTGTCCCCGAATTTTCCCCCATGCATTCCCAGATTTTTTCCCCATTTTCCCCATGTTTTACCCCGTTTTTCCCCATTTGTTTTTTGTGGCAGACGGGTTCCGGAAGGTGCTGCACCTGGAGCAGGGCGGGCTGCTCAATTTCCCCATTCATTCCCCATTCATCCCCGAATTTTCCCTGTATTTTTCCCCATGCATTCCCAGATTTTTTTCCCATTTTCCCCGTGTTTCACCCCATTTTTCCCCGTGGCAGACGGGTTCCGGAAGGTGCTGCACCTGGAGCAGGGCGGGCTGCTCAATTTCCCCATTCATTCCCCATTTTTCCCCGAATTTTCCCCATATTTTCCCCCATGCATTCCCAGATTTTTTCCCCATTTTTCCCATATTTTCCCCATTTTTCCCCATCCCAGACGGGTTCCGGAAGGTGCTGCACCTGGAGCAGGGCGGGCTGCTCAATTTCCCTGCATTTATTCCCCATTTTTTCCCCATTTATCCCCGATTTATCCCCGAATTTTCCCCATAAATTCCCAGATTTCTCCCCCCATTTTTTCCCATTTTCCCCGTGTTTCACCCCGTTTTTCCCCATTTTTGTGGCAGACGGGTTCCGGAAGGTGCTGCACCTGGAGCAGGGCGGGCTGCTCAATTTCCCCATTCATTCCCCATTCATTCCCCATTTATCCCCTGCTCAATTTCCCTGCATTTATTCCTGCATTTCCCCCATTCATTCCCCATTTTTCCCCGATTTTTCCCCATATTTTCCCCCATGCATTCCCAGATTTTTTTCCCATTTTTCCCATATTTTTCCCATTTTTCCCCGTGGCAGACGGGTTCCGGAAGGTGGTGCACCTGGAGCCGGGCGGGCTGCTCAATTTCCCCATTCATTCCCCATTCATTCCCCATTTATCCCTGATGTTTCCCCGTATTTTCCCCCATAAATTCCCAGATTTCTCCCCCCATTTTTTCCCATTTTTCCCATATTTTTCCCATTTTTCCCCATCGCAGACGGGTTCCGGAAGGTGGTGCACCTGGAGCAGGGCGGGCTGGTGAAGCCGGAGCGCGACGACACCGAGTTCCAGCACCCGTTCTTCCTGCGCGGCCAGGAGCGCCTGCTCGAGAACATCAAGAGGAAGGTCACCAGCGTGAGTCACGGCATTCCCAAAAGTACCTGGGAGTGGGGAGGGAGAGCTCGGGAAAATGGGGAAGAATGGGAGTGAGCCCAATTCCCAAAAATAACCCCAATGGGAATGGGGAGGGAGAGCTCGGGAAAATGAGAAGAGAAGAATGGGAGTGAGCCCAATTCCCAAAAAAAAACCAACTTGGGAATGGGGAGGGAGAGCTCGGGAAAATGGGGGGAAAATGGGAGTGACCAGAATTCCCAAAAATAACTCATGGAAATGGGGAGGGAGAGCTCGGGAAAATGGGAGTGAGCCCAGTTCCCAAAAAAACCCCAACAGGAATGGGGAGGGAGAGGAGGAAAAAAATGGGAGTGACCCCAATTCCCAAAAAAACCAATGGGAATGGGGAGGGAGAGCTCGGGAAAATGGGGAAAAATGGGAGTGACCCCAATTCCCAAAAAAAAAGCAATGGGAGAACTCGGGAGAGGGGGGAAAAAATGGGAGCGACCCCAAATCCCAAAGGAAAAACCAATGGGAATGGGGAGGGAGATCTCGGGAAAATGGGAGTGAGCCCAATTCCCAAAAATAACTGGGAATGGGGAGGGAGAGCTCGGGAAAATGGGGAAAAAAGAATGGGAGTGAGCCCAATTCCCAAAAATAACTGGGAATGGGGAGGGAGAGCTCGGGAAAATGGGGAAAAATGGGAGTGAGCCCAATTCCCAAAAATAGCTGGGAGTGGGGAGGGAGAGCTCGGGAAAATGGGGAAAAATGGGAGTGAGCCCAATTCCCAAAAAAAACCAACTTGGGAATGGGGAGGGAGAGAAAAATTGGGAAAAAAATCTCCAAAAATTCTGAAAAAATCTCCAAAAATTCCTGCAGGTTTCCAGCATCCCAAATTCCCGTTTTTCCTGATTTTTTCCCCGTTTTCCCCCCAGGTGTCATCGCTGAAGGGGAGGAGGTGCGGGTGTGGCAGGACAGCCACGGGGGCACAAAAATCCCAAAAAACCCCAAAATTTCCTTGCAAACCTCAAAAAATTCCCAATAAATTCTTTAAAATTCTTTTAAATTCTCGAAAAAAATCTCAAATACCCTGGAAAGAAATTGCAAAAAAATTAAGAAAAATAGCAAAAAAAACTATTAAAAAATCTGGAAAAAATCGGAAATAATCGGAAAAAAAACCCAGAAAAAATTGGGAAAAAAATCTCAAAAAATTCTGAAAAATTCCTCAAAAATTCCTGCAGGTTTCCAGCATCCCAAATTCCCGTTTTTCCTGATTTTTCCTGATTTCCCCCCAGGTGTCGTCGCTGAAGGGGGAGGAGGTGCGGGTGCGGCAGGACAGCGTGGCGCGGCTGCTGGCAGACATGCAGGCCATGCGCGGCAAGCAGGACAGCCTGGACTCGCGGCTGCTCGCCATGAAACAGTACGGACAAAAAACGGGAATAAAATCCGGGAATTGGGGATAAATCCCGGAATAAAAAATGGGGATAAATCCTGGAATAAATCTGGGAACAGCCACGGGAATGTGGGGATGGAATCTGGGAATGTGGGAATGGCGGCCAGCAGGACAGGCTGGGCTCGCGGCTGCTGCCATGGAACAGTACGGACAAAAAACGGGAATTTGGGATAAATCCTGGATTAAATCTGGGAATGAATCTGGGGATAAATCTGGGAATAAATCCTGGAATAAATCTGGGAACAGCCACGGGAATGTGGGGATGGAATCTGGGAATGTGGGAATGGATTTTGGGAATGACGGCGAGCAGGACAGGCTGGGCTCGCGGCTGCTGCCATGGAACAGTACGGACAAACGGGAATAAAAACTGGGAATTTGGGATAAATCTGGGAATAAAATCCTGGATTAAATCTGGGAATAAATCCTGGAGTAAATCCTGGAATAAATCTGGGAAATGGGAATGGAATGTGGGAATGGCGGCGAGCAGGGCAGGCTGGACTCGCGGCTGCTCGCCATGAAACAGTACGGACAAAAAACGGGAATAAAATCCGGGAATTTGGGATAAATCCTGGATTTAATCTGGGGATAAATCTGGGAATAAATCCTGGAGTAAATCCTGGAGGAAATGTGGGAATTGGGAGTGGAATGTGGGAATGACGGCGAGCAGGACAGGCTGGACTGGCGGCTGCTGCCATGGAACAGTACGGACAAAAAACGGGAATAAAGTCTGGGAATTTGGGATAAATCCGGGAATAAAAAATGGGGATAAATCTGGGAATAAATCTGGGAATGAATCCGGGAATTGGGAATGGAATGTGGGAATGGAGGTGAGCAGGACAGCCTGGACTCATGGCTGCTGCCATGGAACAGTACGGACAAAAAATGGGAATTTGGGATAAAATCCTGGATTTAATCTGGGAATAAATCCTGGAGTAAATGTGGGAATAGCCACGGGAATGTGGGGATGGCAGCAGGCAGGACAGCCTGGACTCGCGGCTGCTCGCCATGGAACAGTACGGACAAAAAACGGGAATTTGGGATAAAATCCTGGATTAAATCTGGGAATACATCTGGGAGTCAATCCAGGAGTAAATCCTGGAGGAAATGTGGGAGTTGGGAATGGAATGTGGGAATGGAGGTGAGCAGGACAGGCTGGACTCGCGGCTGCTGCCATGAAACAGTACGGAAAAATGGGAATAAAATCTGGGAATTTGGGATAAATCTGAGAATAAATCCAAGATTAAAACCCAGGGAATCTGGGAACTGAATCTGGCAATTGGGAATGGAAGCTGGGAATGACCCCGGGAATCTGGGAATGGAATGTGGGAATGACACCCAGGAACTGGGAAAGAAATCTGGGAATAACAGTCAGGAATCTGGGAATAACACCGGGAAAAA